TGGTGGTGGTGATGGTGTTAGCCATCCTGACTAAGTTTAAGGTGATATCTCATCGTGGTTTTGATTTGCATTTCCCTAAGGATTAGTAACCTTGAGCATTTTTTAAAAAACCTTTTGGCCATTTGCATGTCTATATAAATAGAAAAATGTCTATTTATATCCTTAGTTAATTTTTTAATCAGCTTAGTAAATCTTTTGTGCTGAGTTGTAGGAGTTCCTTTTATTTTGGAAATCAACCTCTTACCAGATGTTTTTTGAGAATATCATCCTATTTTCTATGTTAATGTATTTACTAATTGATCATTTAATATCCATGTTACCTCAAAACCAATTTTTCATATCCTTTCTGATACTAGTCCCTTTATCAAATTGTTTCTCTTCCACTGATACACTGTCCTTCGAAGTTTGAATATGATCTCTCTGCTGCTAAGTCTCTTAAGTGTTCATCTCACCTTCTAAATTCTTCAGATGTCATATAACCTACTTCTAGTCCTTATACCTACCTTTTCCAACACACCTCTCTCATGATGCATTGCTCATTATTGCACCACCTCAATATATCGGACCTCCACTAAGACTCCTACCTATGCCCTATCACTGAGTCTTGACATTTCATTAAAGTGATACTGATCAACTAGCTTATGCTCTAGAAACAGGTACCTTATGATTGTAGCCTTATATTGCCCAAGGAGCTGACACTGTATTAAGGAAAGTCTTCACAGTCCAAAGTCTACTCTTCTACTAAATATAATATGCAATATATGGTATAGTATAGATTCTTTCATCTTATGTCTCCATTGCAATAATTTTATACTAAAACTTCTTTGCTATTTTGGAGTGGTACTTCAGATACCCAAGTGCTTCAGAAGGTTTAAAAGAAATAACAAAGCCATATTTCCATTTTTTTTGATCCAAGGAAACCATCTATATACTATTAAATTTCAAATGCAAATTCTCTAGCAAGAATTTTATTAGAGAGTGTAGGAGAACAAGAGTAAGAGTAGAAAAGAAGCAGATCTGGGCAGATGAAGTTGGACTGCAGTACAGTCTAGACAATGAGCTCACACAGTCCCATGGAGAATGCTAACAAAATAACCCTGCCACATTGTTCTGTTTTTGCAGAGAGGGGTAGATATATGTCCATTTTACAGCCTTTTTTTACTTTGGTGTAATTTTCTCTAACCTGATACTACATATTTGTTAATTGATGCATCCAGTTGAGTTGCTTTTCTAATATTTCCTTTTTTGTTTTCCAGTTTTCATTTTTAAGCTATGTAGTGGAATTGCCACCTAAATCTTTCTACACTGACTTAATTCCCCAGTTGCTAAGACTGACAGCTGGAAACTCTCAGATTTTCTTCCTCTTTATAAATTGTTTTTAATTAGAAAGGGTTTCCTCACCCACCTTGTCTGGATGTCCTATCTCTAATGACTATTCAGTGAAAGAATATGAAGACTGGCCTTCTTTGTTCCTATGTAGAACATCTCGGAAGAGCCATCCCAGTTTCAGAGCTCCCTGTGGAGTCATCTGAGATAATTGTGAAACTAGATTACAACCCTACTTGTCTTTTTACCCCAAGCCCTTCTCCCCATTTTCCAAAATAAATATCTTCCTAATAAATGTCCTGCCGGCATAATAATCCCAGTCTCTTAGTTCATTTTCTAGGAAATTCAACCTACAAAAGATCAACATGTTTTCATATTTGAGAAGCTCGTATAATTTGGTATTTACTGCTAAATAGAAATACTTAGTAAAGAATTATGTGAAATAGGGTTGTGAGACTAAAAATATAATTTCAAAACAAAACCCTATGATGAAATGTTAAATGAGATCATGTAGACTAAAATCACCATAGAAATTCAGAAAAGGAGATAATTATTGAAGGGTGTCATATTCAGAGAGATTTTTATGGAAAAGAAATACTGAGCTCAGCCTTGATAAGTGGACAGGATTTTGATACATGAAAGAAATGAAGAGCGTTCCAGGCAAGGTGTACATTGCTGAAATGAGCAGTGAGGCTGTTGAATTTCTGGTATTCATTATCTATCAATCTGAGAGTGACTTGGTGGTACTTAGAAAGGTGGCAATCAAATAGCTCTTACTCAGTTGTTTTAAAGTATACTTTTATGATTTTTTTCCCTGAAAAGCCCTTAAGTTGATTGTGTCTCTTATCACAGTTTCTATGAAATCTTTAGATTTAATGAGCTTATTACTGGTTTAAGTAAGCTGCCACTGGAGAGCTGTCAACCTAAAATAATCTCACATGTTCTCATTTGGAGAACTCTCCCAGGAAATGGATGATCAAGGAAATGATTACCCTTAAACTAAAAGTGTTTAGTGAAATTCTAAGAGAGAATGTGTCCATACTGAAACTAGACTATGACTTCAGCATAGCTAAATATATTCAGATTGACATTAAAACATGGGTAACATACAGTATCAGTTTTGACATACTCATATATTTATATATCAAGCTTTGTATCTTAAGGAGTTCATATTTCCAAATGAAAATTGGTGAAGCTGTGTCCTGATCTCCATGTACAGAAAAAGGGATCTAATGGGGCAATTCAATATTTGACATTTTATTTTTGCCTATTCTTCTTCCATTAGTTAAATAGCATTTTAAAATTTATAAGACAATAGTCACTATTGTTAACCTCAGTTTATTTTAGGATATATTTAAAAGAGAAACTTTTAACTGGTAAGAATGGCTCACTATGGTTCACATTTTTAAAAAGGATATAGAAAACAAGAGGCTGCTATCACATAGGTAAGGCTTTATTATATGATGCTTTAAAATCAAAATCATTCACTTAGTGTCTCCTCTGAACAAATAGCTAAAGCACGGCACACACAATATTAAAGTTAAGCTATGGTCCAAAATAAGTCATTTCCATCTCATCTACCACCAGTTAAATATATTCAAAGAATTAATATTTTTAATGTAACTTATTATCAAGTTGGCTTACATGCAACACCCAGTGCTCATCCCAACAATGCCCTCCTAAATGCTCATCACCCACTTTCCCCTCTCCCCCACCCCTATCAATCCTCAGTTTGTTCTTTGTATTCAACATTCTCTTATGTTTCTCTCCCTTCCTCTGTTTGTAACTATTTTTTCCCTTTTGCTTCCCCCATGTTAAGTTTCTCAAGATCCACATATGAGTGAAAACATGCAATCTGTCTTTCTCTGACATTTATTTCACTTAGCATAGTACCCTCCAGTTCCATCCATGTTGCTGCAAATGGCCAGATTTCATTCTTTCTCATTGCCAAATAGTATTCCACTATATGTACAAACCACATCTTCTTTATCCATTTGTCAGCTGATGGACATTTAGGCTGTTTCCATAAGTTGGCTATTGTTGAAAGTGCTATAGGGTACATATGCCCCTATGCATCAACACTCCTCGTACCTTGGGTAACTTCTTAGGAGTGCTATTGCTGAGTCCTAGGGTAGTTCTATTTTTAATTTTTTGAGGAACCTCCACACTGTTTTCTAAACCGATTCCACCTGTTTCCATTCCCACCAACACTGTAAGAGGGTTTCCGTTTCTCCACATCCTCACCAGCATCAGAAATTTCCTGATTTGGGGCGCCTGGGTGGCTTAGTCGGTTAAGCGTCCTACTTTCACTTGGGTCATGATCTCTTGGTTCGTGGGTTCGAGCCCCGCGTCGGTTTCTGTGCTGACTGCCAGCTCAGAGCCTGGAGCCTGTTTCAGAGTCTGTGACTCCCTCTCTCTCTGACCATCCCCTGCTCACGCTGTCTCTCTCTCTGTCTCCTAGAAATAAATAAAACATTTAAAAAAAAAAAAGAAATTTCCTGATTTGTTCATTTTAGCCACTCTGACTGGCATGAGGTGGTACCTCAGTGTGGCTTTGATTTGTATTTTCTTGATGATGAGTGACGTTGAGCATCATTTCATGTGTCTCTTGGCCATCTGTAAGTCTTCTTTGGAAAAGTTGTCTATTCATATCTTCTGCCCATTTCTTCATTGGATTATTTGTTTTTCAGGTGTGGAGTTTGATGAGTTCTTTATGGATTTTAGATACTAGCCCTTTATCTGATATGTCATTTGCAAATGCCTTTTCCCATTCTGTCAGTTGCCTTTTAGTTTCGTTGACTGATTCTTTTGTAGTACAGAAGCTTTTTATCTTGATGATATCCCAATACTTCATTTTTGCTTTTAATTCCCTTGCCTTGGAGATGTATTCAGTAAGAAATTGCTGCAGCTGAGGCCAAAGAGGTTGTTACCTGCTCTTTCCACTAGGGGTTTGATGGTCTTCAGTCTCGATTTTAGGTCTTTCATCCATTTTGAGTTTATTTTTGTGTGTGGTGTAAGAAACTGGTCTAGTTTTATTCTTCTGTGTGTTGCTGTCCAGTTCTCCCAGAACCATTTGCTAAAGAGACTGTTTTGTCCTTTGAATGCTTTGTCTTCCCTGCTTTGTCAAAGAGTAGTTGGCCATACATTTGTGAGTCCAATTATGGGTTCTCTATTCTATTCCATTGGTCTATGTGTCTGTTTTTGTGCCAATACTACACTGTCTCAATGATTATAGCTTTGTAGTAGAGGCTAAAGTCTGGGATTGTAATACTTCCCACTTTGGTTTTCTTCTTCAGAATTACTTTGGCTATTCTGGGTCTTTTGTGGTTCCATACAAATTTTAGGATGGTTTGTTCTTGCTTTGAGAAGAATGCTTATACAGTTTTGATTGGGATTGCATTGAATGTATAGATTGCTTTGGGTAGTACTGACATTTTAACAATATTTTTTCAGGGTTCCTGATGAGGCAGGTTAAAAATAATATTTATTCTTCCAATCCATGAGCAGGGAATGTTTTTCCATTTCTTTGTGTCTTCTTCAATTTCCTTCATAAGCTTTCTATAGTTTTCAGCATACAGATCTTTAACATCTTTGGTTAGGTTTATTCCTAGGTATTTAATAGTTCTTGGTACAATTTTTTTTTTTAATTTTTTTAATGTTTTATTTATTTCTAGGAGAGAGAGAGAGACAGCGTGAGCAGGGGAGGGTCAGAGAGGGAGACACAGAATCTGAAGCAGGCTCCAGGCTCTGAGCTGGCAGTCAGCACAGAGCCCAACGCGGGGCTCGAACCCACAAACCGCGAGATCATGACCTAAGCGAAAGTCGGACGCTTAACCAACTAAGCCACTCAGGCGCCCCAGTTCTTGGTACAATTGTATGTGGGGTCAGTTTCTTTATTTCTCTTTCTGTTGCTTCAAAGAATTAAGATTAAGACAATTTTATCCAAACACCACAAGATAAACAATGGCAGCCATTTCTGCTCCATTTCTCTTTGTCAGCACCATTGAAATAGGCTTCTGCATCTTGTATCCATTTAGTGAGTGAGTTAGGTAATTATTAGATAATGTTATTCCATATTATCTAATTTAACTAACTTAGAAACAGCTTCAGAACTCCTGTATACCTTTGTCAAAATGCATAAATCTAATCCTCATCTACTTTATATAGAAATTTTAATTCAACTGAAATCAATGCAATACAATAAACAGTAGTAAGTGTCCACAGTGAATACTATTTGAACAGCATTCTCTGGATATCATGGAGGGCAAAAAAAAACCCACTAAAAATAAATAGAACTTACATTAATTAGAGAGACATTCTAAAATTCACTTATACAATTCCACAATCTAGGCTTTCTGAAATGGAAAAAAAAAACCACTATGTATGCACTGGTCTACTTCTATGCAAGCACACTGAAGATAATTATTCATGACAAAAGTGTTTTTTAAGTTACCCTTAATAATGTGGGGAAAATGCATGTAATAATAGAAACAACACTTAAAAGAAACCCCAGTAGACTATTATTTATTATTTACATCAATGCTATGAGTTAAATACTGTTATTATTTCTATTTCACAGGTGATAATATGCTAAGAATATAGATTAAATAAATTTTTCCAGATACTAGAACTAATAAGTATTAGAGGTGGTATTCAAACCTAGTTGCTCCAGCTCCTGAGTCCATGCTGTTAATCTCTACTCTGAGTTTTCTTTTTTAATGCCTCTGTATCAACACAACATAAATAAAGCAGCAGTATTAAGTTAAATATAAACATATTTTAAATTTAAATATATTCTAAATATATTAAATATAAATATATAAATTAAATAAATAAAAAATTTTGTATTGCTCAAAATTCATTTAAGTTATTATTTGGCCTGATGAAGGTACTTCAGATTACTAATTTTGCATAACAATTATTTAGTGGTCTGTATATATCGTAAATTATCTGGTAAGAAAATCAGAAATCTATAAAATAATAAAAAAGTTAATGAGTCAATTGATTTATAGTCTATCTCAAAGGATTAAGTGATTTACCATAAACTATAAACCTCAATGCTGGTTAGTAGAATCATTGATACATGCTGGATCTCATGTGGTATAATCCAATGATTTTTTGTTTGTTTTCTATGATATATCAAGCAATAGAAATTCAAAATCCCATTACTGCGTGTGTTACTAGGCATTTAATAATGTTTGTAGTGATGAAGAAATGATAAACTTGATGTTGCATGAGTTGTCTAATTTGTTTCTTGGAAGTCTAAATCTCACTGTTAGAATTTAGAGAAATTCTGAATATAGATTACTGCTGCTCATGGCTTATTTTCCACTTGAGTGGATTATATTGATATGCTCAAGAAATGGGGCATCACTGTGTAAATAAGGGAACAATTTTGATTATTTTGGCATAGTGTCTATTAATCTTTTGTATTAATATAAAGAAGTAATGATGTAGTTGGATATTATATAACTTATTATTTCTAGAATACAGTGATTCTCAAACTATTAGAAAATTCCCAGAAATTAATATAAGATCATTATCATTTATGTATGTGTTCAGAATAAAAACTTGCCTGCAGTGTCTTAATATCAGACTCACTAGGGGAAACATAAAGCATGTCTGAGCTTTATATATGTTTCCCCTCCTTTCAAAATTAGCTTAAACAAACCCCCTCTATGAAATATTGTGTGTTATTTGACAAACCTAAGGTTCCCTTACTCCTAATTAAAATTCCAAGTAAGAGATGATTTTTGTAAATATTTATTTTTGAGAGGTGAGAGCAAAGGGCACAGAGAGAAGGAGACAGAGGATCTGACATGGGCTCTGTGCTAACAGCAGAGAGCCTGATGCAGGTCTCGGATTCAGGACCTGCAAGATCATGACCTGAGCCGAAGTCAGATGGTTAAGCAACTGAACCACCCAGGTACCCCAAGTTGATTTTTTAAAACTATGTGTATTTCCTTGATATATTCATTTGTTATCTACATTCAATCCATAAATGCTATTTTATTATGTAATAGAGTACAATACTACTTTTATTAGAATTAAACTTTAATTTCAAAGACAAAAATTAGGGCCTGTCCTCAATGTTTTAACTTTCATTCTTGGTCTTGAATAGAAGGTTTTTTCATCTTCCATTTCTAGTCATGCTCTAGAAAACATCATCAGTCACATTCTCCACATTGTCTGAAATAGCTAAAGGCTATTATGTTTATTCTTACCATTTAACTGAGAAAGAAATGTTGACCTACCTTTTAATTTAATAATGAAAATTCTTTCTTAAGCAAGCCAGAGATTCCCATATGCATATTTGAGTTTGGTAGATGAGCATTATTTTTAAAATTGCAGGTCATAAAGGCACTTTGGGTTAGTTTCATTTCTGACAATTGATAAAAGGGATGGTAGAAAACAAGGACTGTGGGATTTTTTAAAGATGGTAACTGATGTCTCAAATTAAACTTCATGTCAAAATATCCTTAAAGAAGATGATAGATGACACATGATCTGCAAGTTACTACTCAGCAATCTCTCTTTCACAGCAAAAAGCCAGTTCTCCTGGTGCCTATATTAAAGTTGGTCTTGGATATATGAATAACATTTACATTTATTCCTAAACTAGATTAAATATAATTTCTTCTCGCTTAAATACTATATAGACTTAGAAGATCATTTCTGTTTCATACAACACAATAATTGTACAAAGTACATTTTTTGAAATGTGTAACACTTTTATAACTTAATTTTTTTATATTTCTAACATACAAATCTATACATTTGTACACATATAGTACAGTCAAGATTATTATATAGTAACATAGAAAGAAGGAAACTTTCCTCTGTCATTAGAAGTATAGATATAGATATAGATATAGATATAGATATAGATATAGATATAGATATAGATGTGTGTGTGTGTGTGTGTGCACGTGTGTGCGCGTGTTTGTGTATATTTGCTTCGCTTTCCTTTCTGAGGGATTTTTTTTACTTTTATTCAAAATGATGGTCTTCTAAAATAAGATTTAATTTTTTAATTAAATGTTCCTAGATAAACAGACTTTAATATCTGTAAAATGGTGAAACAGCAGTTTGTCAAATCACTATTGTTCAAAACTGTTCTCCAAGTGATTTCTAAACAAAGAAATACATTTTCTTAATTATAATAATGCAATTTGAATCATAATAGTTGTAGCTCATAAAATCTTACCAACTTTTCCATTTATGTTTTCTAATTATTTTTTTCCTTCCAGTTTTGGCATATGAGTTGTTCAGCTTGCTGTACTTTCAAGATGGCTTTCCTTGTCATTCTGATGTCTTAGGAATCTTTTATGTCTCACATACGTTTTTCACTATGAGGTTACAAGCCTATGAAGAGCCTATGAAGGCTCTTTAGACTTACGTGTTCTAAAGCAGTTTGCTTATTTTTAATTCAGACCTATTTTCATCTTTTATTTTAACCTCTCCTTGCATCTCAAAGGCAACTTACAATCATTGTTTCCAAAAATAAATTTACCTCGCATCTTTATAATTACTTTTTCTCTTTCATAAATTAACCACTGTGGCAAACATTTCTAGTCTTCATCAACAGTGTGTGCACTCCTCTACATTTTTCAGACTCTTTGCTTTGGGGCTGATCTTAAGACTAGGTTTTGGACCGTTTGATTTGGATAGGAGTAATTAATATCACTCCCAGGCTTGGTTCTGAAAATCATTCCATGCAATCATCTTGTCTGTACTTACACTTCTACAGAGATCTTGGAAGCAACTTATTCCAGAAGACATAGCCAGAAAAAAAGGACAGCCCAACTGACCTTAAACTTTATATTAGTGACAAATAACCTTTTTTTTGGGGGGGGTGTATAAAAACTGAGAATTAAGGCTTTTTTTTTTTCATTTGTGACTGCTAGCATTACTTCCCTTAAAACATAAATGGTTACCAGAAGGCAGGTATGCTTATATAAAAATCCTAAAAATATTTGTTATTTAATTAGGAGAGAAGTAGTAGGGAGTAAATAAATCAATATCAGAAACTGGTAAGACCATGGTACACGTTGTATAGTGGCAACACATTTGGTAAAAGGGGCAGCTGCAATCACTTATGAGGCAAGACACATGCTTACTTTAACTTTAGAGGAACTGTTTCAAAGACCTATCAGAGGTGTTTTGATTATTACTGGCTCAATTTGGCAAAGTTTATGTGATAGAAACGAACCAGTCTGCAAACAAAAATGCAAAAAAAAACATTACATAAATTCAGAATCTTGCAGATTTGGGAAAATTGACTGCTTTTTGGTAGACTTTCTAAAATATTTTCAAGGATAAGGGCCCAATATTTTTTTTTTTCAGTTCGAAGAAGTGACACAAATCAAATAAGATATTAAGGTATAGCCTTCTCATGAAAGACTCTTGGACTCAAGGGTAACCACATCAAGATGGGGGAGAAGTACAAGGATATGAAAGAAAGGATATCAAATGGATTTGAAAATCATATCAAGAGGAAAAGTCTTGAGAATAATTACCTGAGCAATACACTGGAAGTGAATAAATCAGAAGCCCATTAAAGAATTATATCATTACCAAAATAACAATGAGCAGAAATTGAAAAATACTTTTAATTCCTTGAGCTATAAACAAGCTTTGACGCCACCAAACCATGAGACAGAGGAAAGTCAAATTAGCTAAGCTTCAAAGTCACATTAGCCA